AAGGATCATAGTCTTGGTGGTGGGGTGGGGGGGGGGGGGGGAGGGGGGGGGGGAGTTTTGTGTCACACATGACAGTGATTGTGCAAAGGAATAGACTGCTGTCCTTATCTGGGATCTGGATGGAAGGAGGGGGGAAAAGGTCCTTCATTAAAAGCACTTGGCCTAACAATTGCTCTTCAGAAGTATAACTGTATGTAAAGCAAGAAAGCTGTCAAAGATGTTCAATTTCCAGATACCACTATAAGCTTTTTCAAACATTGAGACTCAATCATTTGGATTTTCACCAACTCCCCCTCTTTATTCTCATCTCTTTGTTTTCTACACTGTGTTCAGGTGCAGAATTCAGTTCAGAGTCTTTAAATGTCTGGTTGTTGCCAAATGTCTATATATATATATATATACATATAATGGTTTATCATTGTGGAGACTTTATTTTTATACAAACCCCTTCCTGGACATAAATAGGAACCCGGATATGAGGACTTTGTACATTCTTAAACAGGGATATAGGCAAAAATGTAGATGTTGTCTTAAATGGTACCTAGGGGTCCAATTACTTCTATGCATTTGTGTGTTCTCAGATGTATCTTGTTTGTTTCGTTCTACCGAAAACAACCCCAAGGATGAACTTGCTGTAGCACCCGGGGGTCTGATGTACATGTTTGTTTATGTGGAAAATGTTTTATGTCTTATTTATTCCCTCTGGTAATGATGACGATGATTCCTGATTAAATGGCAGGACTTTAATAAATTTGTCACCCAAATCAACAATGAAGTTTTATCCTTTCTGGTTGGACTAGTGGTCTGAAAAATAATTGTGGACAGTGGTTAAAGAACCATGATACATTGCAAAGTAATTTATACAACTAGTTTCTTGTCAAAGTCAAGAAACGTGAGCCAGGTCATCCTTGACATTTATCTCATATCTTACATCTTACATCTATATTTTCCTGCAAATCTATAGCATGTCACAGCACTGAGAGTGAAACCAGAGCAACCCCAATGTTCTGGCTGTGTCTGCAAATTGAGTATCTGGCTAACTACCAACCCTGTATCAGGGGTTCAACAGCTCTTTAGTGGAGAAATGTGATGCAGACAGAGAGTCAACTCATCAATTCAGAGATTACTGGGTCTTGTTTGCCCAAATGCCCCTATGGGAAAGGAATCTCCAATCCATTAGCAGAGAAGGGATCAAGTGCCCCTTGTGAATTTCCTCATTTGTTTAGTTACTCAAAGTCAGGTTCAATTAAGAAGATTAAACCGTATACGTGTAGGTAAGTGCATGAATGTGTGTGTGTGTGTGTGTGTGTGTGTGTGTGTGTGTGTGTGTGTGTGCGTGTGCAATTCCATGTTTATTTATTTGCCTCTATGATGGCTTGTGTTATGAATGCCTTGCATGATTGTAGGTGATTTTCAACTGATATATTGTAAACCTTTTACTTTCTTTAAAATGTGTTTATTTATTTATTTGTAGAGTGTCTCTAAAGCCAAGACTAAAGACTGTTTGTGCGACGACAATTTCAACTGAATTATATTAAATATCAAATCTTTCTACTTTGTACAACCAAAAGTGGAAAGTAACTGGGAACATGTACCCAAGTACTGTACTTACGTGCACTTTTGAACTAGTTGTACTTTACTGACACTAAATATTTTCATTTTATGCCATTACGTTCCATTTACTGCATATTTGGTGGTAATACTGTACTCCACTACATTTCTCTGACAGTTATAGTTATTAGTTACTTTGTAGATTACATCCAAAACATGATCAACAAATAACATGAGATACATTAGTATAGAATAAACTATCAAGTGGACTATAAAGTATTTAAAATGTGCCTGCATTGTCCAGCAACAACAATATGTTGTTCAGACATGAATGCATCAACTATTATAATCCGACACTCTGAAGGGGACATTTGTACTTTTGATACTTTATTGTGAGTATATTTGCTAACAGTCCTGCTTCTGTACTTTTTGTAATGTAGGAAATATACAACTCAAAATAACAATAGTGCGAAATCCGACAATTGTGAAGAAAAGAATTGTTGTCTTCATGTTCTGACAGTTATAGACAAAGCCTTCAGCAAATGTATGCTGTTGCATGCTTACTGTGTTTCGTTATGCATGAATGTCTGTCAGCATGAATGTGCAGCTTTTCTGTGCAGCTATACGTGAAGTTTAAAATGTACGAAGGTGACAGCCAGCTGTCCTCAAACCTTTTGTTTTGGTGTACAACCTCCAACTTCCTCCACCATTAACGGTTGCCTGCTCTGCTCCTCAGGTTCCCAGAACAAGAAAAGGAACACCAGACAGGATATCCAGCCCAATCCTCCCAGCTGAGTGGCAGGTATCATTGTTGCCTCGCAAAAGCGACAAGTGTGTAACTTGATCCAAGGAGAGTTTGGCGAAGACAGCAAGGGGGTGAGAGTGAAGTGTCAAAGGCTGTGTTAATCTCCTCGATACCCACCGTGTTCAGTGTACTAAAGTGTTTGTATTTGGGGTTAGACAGGCCGATTTGTAGACATATACGCAAAAGCTACCTGCACTTATAGAGCTTTTTATGAGTCTTTGAATTTGTTGACCACATGGAATTGAAAAGAAAACACAGCGGACAAGCTCTGTCACACAGCAGGTGTGAGATTTTGGTGACCAATGGATGAACTCTTCTAAGCAAACATCTGGGATTACCCCGCCCCACTCTTTCAGATTGAGTTGGAAATCCACCGTTTTCTGAGTAAGGAATTAGATTAAATTGGGTATGCAATTTGTCAGATGGGTTGTGGGTAAGAAGAAGGTGAGGAAAAAGACAACAACATGAATGTAGGGAGCTTCACAATAATTACGTAAATGGTGGGAAAACTATGTGAGAAAAAAAGCTCTCCTTCCTGGTGGTGAAGAGTAAAGCTGCTGAAGATGAGGATGCTGAGAGATGCACAATACAAGCGTGATCCTATGTCTAATATAATGGCATGTGCGGGGGTTATTGAAAGCAATTACATGTGCAGAGACAAAGATGAATAGAAAATAAAACAAAGTGAGCAAAAACTGTACCTGGTTGTGGACGCGATTAGTGGTCTAAATTACAAAACATCTGAAAGCCAAATGCTTCATGACTTCAAGTACGGCATTATTTCTACAAGGAGCACAGCACTTTTGAGATACTGAGCATTCATTTTTTCACATCCCAGATTTATAATCTGATAATAAATAGGGAATAAATAGAGACAGGATTATCTGAAAATCTTTGAATTAAATAACTAATCTACTTCTGATCCTGGTGTTTCAGTGGGAGACAATGAATGTGATTTAATGGTAAACTCATTAAAGCAGTTGTGCAGCACATATCAATTGCATTACAGTAAAGATAGCATTTGTTAATATCACAGCAGACTACTGTCATTTTCATAGAATTGAGTAGAATTGTTCTCCAATCCTGAACATTTACATATTCACATTTAAACTGTGCATCGTGTCATTAGAAGACTACATTTATTTACGTCAAATCGAGGCGAGACATGTATTCTTTCAGAGAGTGGAAAGAAAACATCCAAAAAACACATTTAGGTGTTTATTTTATTACAGTTTGGAAATTTGTGGCTGCAGATTTCTCCTAATTTCCTCAAAAGTTAACATTAGACAATTCCACATTTGCATGTTGAAACACAAAATTCCAGAAAACTTGTAATACAAAAACAAACGTTTGTCATAATGTAAGTAATCAACTGGGGAGGTTTCATGGTGATATTTATTAGTTAAATTGTACACATTCTTCACTTTTAGTGACAATATATATATATATATATATATATATATATATATATATATATATATTAAAGGCCATTTTCCATTAAATGAGGTTATTCTCATGCTCTGAGCCAGAAATCTCCACTTCAGTAGCACTTACACATACCAATTCCAATCTATATTCTAACGGTTTTCACAGAGGGGTTTGTTCATATATCATTCACACCCTGATTTATATAACCCTATATTCCTAAAGATATTTTTTATGGCTTTTGACAATATCCTCGGATTTATGGAGTTGGAGATCTCCAAAAGTCCCTTCATAAAAACCTTTGATCAACAGGGGAAGTTTCAAGGTGATATCTATTAGTTACATTCTTTATTTTTTACCTTATTCAACTTTAGGGTCTCCCCTTAACGATCTCCTTTTTTTTGTACAAGACTTCATCGACTGTTGTTGGCAGCATGACACACGGATGAAGAGGACAATTGTGTACCTTTTCTCTCCCTCATTCTCCAACTTTAGAACTGTGTCGTCTTTCGTTTTGTCTTTGTCTAAAGGCCTGTAGCTCTATCTCTACTCCAACGCCATAGGCCACACATTTAACTCAATATTTCTACACATGAATCTAAAGTTAAGACCTCTGCTTAAATCTACAGCGTGCGTTCAGATGATATCAGATATAGTAGAAATTGTATATTTTGAGTTTAGATTATTTTAGAAAACAATTGGTCTGTATGTATTGAAATGATTTCAGATTTTAAAGTACAGCATGTCATGAGTGTATTAATGATATTTAAATTGATTGCAGTAAACGTGGTTTTTAAGTTTCTAAATTACAAGACAAAAATGAAAATAGATTCCTCATAAAATCACCAGTGCTGACGGTATAACAATTAGTCAATATAAATGACAAGGTACAAATCATGAAATATAAATTCAAATCCCAATGATTGTTGAGGTTGCCTATTTCTTTGCAGCTACTGTTAAACTGTTGCTTTTGACTGTCCTTTCTGTAAAGGACTCTTAGCCTGGCAGCACGCCTGGTGTCTATCACACACACACACACACACACACACACACACAGAGACACACACTCACACACACACACACAC